TCTCTTCTTCATATTTCAACTTTATAATTCAAAGCAGTTAAAAACCCAGAGAGATAAATTAAACAAGGTCAAACCTCTTATTCTGATGAGAGAATCTCCAATGTGAGATAACAGAGTTGATGGCCAGTTCTCTGACCCTGCTCCAATCTTCCCAGGTAGGCTTCACCAAAGAGTGGAGAGACAAAGTGCAAGTCAAAGGAAGAGCTCAAGTGTGAAAGGCAAAATGCTTTCCAACAGCTCTGCCGGGTGTTGGCTTGAGAGTGCTCAGGATCCCTGGGGTCCTCCCAGGGTTCTCATTAGAGTCCCAAGGGACTCCAAAGCAGATGAATGGGAAACTAAGGTTGGAACAATTCCTGAAACTAACTGGCCATTGCCCCCAGGAACTGCTGGCTGTAGCCTCAACTTTATCCTTGTGGCAACTAGCGGTAGTTCTGGAAATGCTGCCCTGTCTCTGGAGGCTGAGAGGTACTTAAGGGAAGGAAGCTACTTACGACAATCCACCATCTGTGATCCAAGGGGCAGCGACTGCCCCAGGGATGAGGCTCTCAAGGGCAGGAAAGAACTGACAAGAAGACGGAACAGGAATGACAAAAACCGGGCAGAAGTGGGCAGAGTGCTATTATACTGTGGGGACTGCAATCAATGTCATCCATCAAAACGTGTGTGAACTGCTGGACAGAAAACCAATTTGCTCTGTCAATTTCCACCAAACCCACCATTAAAAAAAACGCGCCAAGAAGTCCTCTGGTGTGAACTTTCTTGAGCAAACGTGAGTAGGTACGAGGCCAGGGGAAGAAAGAGGAGGTAAAGAATGCTGCCTTTCAGAAAGGAGTGGACAGAGAGGTCTGGAGGGAATCTTTTTGAGGGGATCTCTTTCTGAACCATCTCAAGCAAGCTGGAGTGTCCGCCACACAGAGAGCCCATCTAACACTTTTGTTTGGTCTGTCAGTATTATGAAAGTTGCCTCCATTAGGTTCTATTTGAAATCCCTGGAGGTTTTATACTCTGAAGGATTCAGGTAGGACAGGGTGAATAATGAGGAATTTGATAAGCAGTTTCATCACAATCATTCAGTACCCCAGGACTATCATTTGGCTTGGGAAACAATTCGTCTCAAAAACCAAAAAAGCTCCATCTATCTATCTATCTATCTATCTATCTATCTATCTATCCCTTGCTATATTGGAAGGAAGCCTATTCTCTGGCATCTTCTCTTCAGCCCCTGCCCAATGTCCGTTTAGAAGGATTTTGTGATTCCAAGTACCAACGTTTCAGAAGAATGCTTTCACTTGATAGCTACCAGCGGGCTGTCAAGATGTTCGTGGAAAACGGGAGCTCAAAGATCATGAAATCAATATCAATCCATGACTGTCTCCCCAACTCCCCGACTGAGTGGTCTGGGGCAAGGAACCCAGGGTTAGGGTCTTACCATTACTGTTGAGCGTTTTCATGATCACCTCCATCTGCGCAAACTCGTAGTTATAGTCGGGTTCTGAGGACGCCTCACTGGCTGCGTCCAAGTCAAGCTCTGGTGGACTCGCTTCCTTCTCAAAGTCTCTCAGCCAGTCTCGCCGCTTCCTCTTGGGCAAATTGATTCTGCGGGGAGGAGTTCCGACCATCAGAGAAAAACCACCCGGTTTTGCGCTTACCCCGACAAGGCGATCATTTTATGGCAAACCAGTCAGGACTGAACACAAAGGCGTTACCTAAAAAAGTGGTTATTGCCCCAGAGGATTCTGTCACCATGCCACAGCTGGGTGGTGCTGCACACCAGGGTGCCGTTCACACAGGACCTGAGGGGACACAGGCAAGAAGACGGAGGGTCAGGCATCCCAGTGAGTACGCGAGGAGAACAGTGCCTTTG